TCTCTCTCTCTCTCTCTCTCTCTCTCTCTCTCTCTCTCTCTCTCTCTCTCTCTCTCTCTCTCTCTCTCTCTCAAAGGTGATCTCAGTGTGTGTCTGCAGCTCTGCAGGATACATGTATGGTTTTTGACGTGTCCCTATCCATTGACTTCTCCACGTATTGAGTTTGTCTGTATTGACAACATAAAATACACCCATAGATGCACTCCGTTACGCACACAAAACAGTAATTTAAAAGGGGAAAAAAAAAAAAGGAAAAAAAAAAAAAGATAAGAAAAGAGAAACAGTAAGGAATGGATATTTGAACGCTCAGATCCAAAGCAGATTGTCAGCGTGAGAGAGAAGCAGCGACGACTGTACTTGAACTTGGGGCCTCACCGGACGGAAAGAATTACGAAACGAAGCGGCCTCCTAACACGCAAGGGCTCACGAGGCCCTATTTCGCCGTTTCGCCTCGTTTCTGTGCTCACCGCCGCATAGCACACGCGAATATCCACGCAGCCATGCCCTGATGGCAATTGGACAAACGTTTCCCTGAGGCTGACATGGCTGCGTGGACAAACGTTTCCCTGAGGCTGGCAAGCACTACGGTCCAAGAATTTGGATGGACACCGAACGACAATTGCGGTGCACTCGCGAGAATCCACAGGGTCTCCACCATCCTCACCGAGGACCTACGAGAATCCACAGGGCCTCCACCATCCTCACCGAGGACCTACGGGTTCGCGTGTTTTGCAGGCTGGGAGGCAGTCGCCACGCATTTTCCTCGCGAATCCTTTTTCTGACAGAATTCGTGCGTTGCTCCTGACAACAATAGTGTGTATGCTGTGCGGCGGCGCACTCACGAAACAAATTCTTTTTTTTGTTCGTTTTTCTTACCGTCCGGCGAGGCCCTTGATCTGTTCTGTAGGTCGTACTTTCCAGTATCTACGAATACAGAGATGACTCACACTTGGAGGATGAGCGGAGACCTCCATTCCGAGTATCCGACCAAATGACAAATGTGTGAATGAACTTCCCGCTAGAACATGGCCAGATGCATCCGCCACATTTTTGTCTTTTTCACATTTCTAGAGTGGTGTGGCCACGCCCTTACTCACACATTCATCTCGTAAAGTCCTCGTTCCACTACTACCTTCTTCCCCCAGCCGTATTTGGGGCATCTTTCAGTCTAGATACAGATATAATGACCGTACGTTGTATTTTGGGAAGTAGGTAGTCACGACTTGCATAAAAGACAAGCCTCGGGCTGTTTTCCCAAAACAAAAACAAAAAAAAAACAAAGACATATGGGGGTGTATGGTTCCATGTTCTAGCAGATGATTCGTTCTAGTTTTGCACATTTAGGGCCTCGCTGCACCACTCTAGACTCTCAAATTTTCGAGAGTGGGTCATGGCTGCACTTAGGGCCTCGCCACACCTATCCCGAAAACGGGGTTTTCAGGAGGGGAAGCATCGCCACACCTACTCTCCAAACCCATTATTTTGAAAAAGTTGGAGAGCGGTCAGAAGGTTGTTTCGGGAGTGCCCGCCTGCAAAGAGGCCGTTTTGGAGAGCGGTCCGAGGCCCACCCGATTTCAGCCCGAATTTCGAGAGTGTGCCGCGACAACAAGCGTTTTGTGATGTTTGGTTCGAGAGAACTCTCGAACCGACGCCTCTGTCCACCACTCACCACATGCACAAAAGACAAAAAATATGGCGGCGTATCTTTCCATGGTCTAGCAGAAGATTCATTCTCATTTTGCACATTTGGTGAGTAGTGGAGCAAGGCCCTTGCACCGCCACACTGCACTCTCGAAAAACGCCGTTCTTTTTTGACATAGTGGAGAGCGCCGCCTTCGAGAGCGCAGTGCGGCGATGAGGCCTCTCCAACCGTTTTTCGCGATTTCCCGAGTTCGAGAGCGCTCTCGAACATTTTCCCGTTTTCGGGATAGGTGTGGCGAGGCCCTTACTCTCGATGGGGAAACTCTCGAAACCCGATCGAGAGCTGTCAGAAGCCACACTATGGGTCTCGCTGCACTACTCTAGACTCTCGATAGGGAAACTATCGAAACCCGATCAAGAGCTGTCGGAAGCCACGCTACAGAAGCCACGCTACAAAGCCACTCTCGAAACATCGAGAGTCTCCCGCCTGCAAAAACCGAATTTGCGAGTGTCCTCGGGAGTTGCCTGCCGACAGGCTCGTTTTTTGAGAGTGGACCCCCTGTCCCGGCGGCCAGACTTTGTCCCATAGCGCAGTGGTGCAGCTCCTCAGTAGAGTAGGACGACACCCAGGGTTTCGAGAGTTCATGTAGTGTCATAGGTTCTAGAGTAAGTGCAGCGAAGGCGTGTATTTTGAGAGTTTCGCCTCTCTGACAATGCTAGTCGAACTCTCGAAATATTTCGAGATAGTGCAGCGAGGCCCTAT